GTATCTCAGATCTAGTGACTTTAGTGCATATTATACCAAGTGTCACCTTAAGTCCTCAATACCTTTACTGCACACATTATCGAGCGTCACCAAGGTCACAATACCTTTAGTGCACACTCCCTACCAAGCATCACCGTAAGGATACCAAATCTTAGTACCTATGTGTTCTCTTGTTGAGTTTCAACCTCAAAGTCTTCATTCAACCTTTAGTGTCTACCACTAGCATTCAAGATAGGAACATTAAGCTTCCTACTTGATAACACAAAACATTTAACCCTCATGCATAAGGGTTAACTCATAAAAAACATAATACTCACGGTCTCAGAGTTCGACTCATAAGAATTCACCTCCGCGACCAAGATGACCATAATTCCTACACGAGCATTGGTCACAAAGCGAGGACATCAAAACTCCTCATTTATCAAACACGAATGACTCATATACCCATGGATCCAATGCATTACAGTCTAAATTACATGAATTGAAAACATGTAATTTCCCAAATAAATATGCAATACATGCACATCTTGCCCAAGTTCAACAATGAGCTATTAAATCGGACAAGTGTTCTCAAAACTCAAATGGGCCAAAACAAGCCAATAACACCACATGCTCCAAAAGTATGATTAACCCCAAAACCGCTATTGGTTGGGACAAATCATTTTCCACATAAAAACACATAATTTATATTTCTTAAATACCCCATACCACTTTTGCTTGCATTTTCCTAGTGTTTATAAGACCTCATACTCTACAAATGCATCATTATCAAATAATCCCATTTTATACAATAGACCATCAAAATAACACACTCTTATGATTTGTTTATCAAATATCCAAAACCCCCAAATATAAGGATTTTCTTAAGATTTCTAAAATCAAATGTACCAAAGATCAAAATCCCATAAAATAAACACACTTGAAAAATATCAAGGAAAACAACTCAATACATCAAAATAGACATTTTTGGCATGTACGTAGTTTTTATAAAGCAACTTAAATTCATCTAGCTAGATTTATGCTAAATCTAGGTTCTATCCCAAATCTCGAGCTTCCTTTGGTGAAGACTTTAGATCTTCAAGCTAGACTCCCAAATCAAAGATGGGAAGCTCCCAATAACTCATTTCCTACTTCCAATCTTACCCAAAAACACCACAAAGAGGGAAATGGTTGAGGATGGAAAGAACCCAAAAACCCTAACTGTTAAAGATGAGAGATGCGAAGGTTACCTTTCAATCAAACACACTTGAAATCACCAAGAAATGCTCTTCCAAGACCCAAAATTGGACCTCAAGCTTCCCAAGAACTCAAATTTGAGAGAAAATGGTGGAGGAGAAGTGTTTGGGTGAGAGTATGAGAAATCCTAATTGGCTTTAAACTGATCTGGGCAAGAATGCGAGTTTATACGTTGCTAAACCCATATGAAAAGTCACCTGCATCCCAAAAATAACCCTAATGCGGGTTTATACAAGGCTAAACTCACGTGTGAACCCGCTCGGATATACAAAGTACATAAACCCGCCTGAATATTTGACTCACGGGTAAACCCGCCCGGATATATGACTCGCACGGTTCTAACAACCCACATATCATTCAGATTAATAAAACTTAGGATGTTACACAACAAGCTACAGAAGATAAAAAGTACCAAAAGATTCATCACTGACCTTGATTTAGATCTTGAAAGGAAACAAGTTTTGAACTATTGAGCTCTATGAGCAAAATGAAGGATGAAATGCCTCCCTATTTATACTTAGAGGGAGAACACTAGTTTTGACAAAATAAATACTTATGACAAAAGACATAATATCCAAAGGATAATATAGGAGTAATATTATATTCAATTCTAGAGTCATCCCTTATCTTTCACACATTCACCGACTTCAGTTACATGCTTTATCTACTTTCTCCATCTTTTGCTTCTAAGAATGTATAAGATCACCAAAAGTCAACAAAAAGATTGTGAAGTTCTGTCATCCCCTGGTGCTTCTTGTTGTGACAACCCTGTTACAGCAATCAAAATATCACTAACTTTGCCAAATTAAGCTTAATCAAGACCACATCTTTATTTTAGCTCTAGGCTTAATGAAAGGTAAAATAAGAAGAAAAAATCTGTTTTTATATTTGGGAAAATAAAATAAAGGCAAATATTGTAAAAAGTGATCCAAATATGTTAAATTATGCATTTATCAAACTCTTTATCAGAGGTTATGTTCCTTCACTCACCCCTCCACTTCCATATTCTTTATCATCCTCACTAATGTTGTCATAATTGGCCTCTTGCAGATGTATTCAGATCTCCAAAATATTCTCCCTATCTCTCTGTATGTGTGATCGGAGCACCTCGAACTCTACACAAAATACCTTGTTTAGTACCATATCTAACTTGGTCGGACCACATACTTGAGCATCATCATTTATACAACTCTTAACTTTCTCTCTTGTGCCTTCCTCATCGCCTAACACTCGAAGCTATACATCATTGCTGGTTCGATAGGCACAAATGCACCATGTAAGAATTTCCTCTTAATTTCAGTGGGAATTTCATGTTGCAAAAAAACTCTTGTGGCAACTTTCTACTTTAACCACCATGCCTTTATTATATGTGTTACATCATCTTCGACCTTTCTCTCCTTCTGAATCATGAAGCCAACATATTTGAACATGTCATTCCAAGATATCATTTGATTCCCAAATGTCGAATTCTACCTTCTTGTCAGCATGATCCCACTTAAAGTACCAAAAACTAAATAGCTTAACAAAGTGTAACCTCTAACTATTCTAGGACACAATCCAAATGTCAGCTCTATAACCCTTTGCTAATCGACCCTCTACCTCCACCTTTCCATCTCCCATCCCTCTCCCTACAACTGGTCAATTTAGAATTTGTCTGCATAGATTATTCATTTTTATACAAGTTTTTATGTTATTTAAAAAATATTAAAAAACATTGATCTGACCAATCATGAGGACAAACAACGGTGTTATGTTTGCTAGGTTGATTACATGTAATGTGGTTTTGCAATATCCTTGTCGATAAAATACTTAGGGGCCGTTTACCAAACCCTTAAACGAGTAAGCGCTTACCAAGTCACATTACCTTATCGAATCAATATGACAAAGACCAATAATCTTACCCGATAAGAACGAAGGTAAGGACTGAGAATCTTACCCGGTAAAGTGACGACGACGACTCTTACCATGATTAGCAGTTACCAGGTTAATTGTTGCATACGATACCGTTTTTTGTTGGACTAAAATCTTACCCGGTAAATGACTGATAGTTTTAAATTTTACCGATAAACACTTACTGATAACTCTTTATTTTTAAGAGTTATTTCCTATTTATTTCCTCCCTTTTTGTTATTTTTAAATACCAAATTTTCTTGTTTTTATCCTTTATTCCAAAAAGTTTTAAAAAGATGATGAAACACAAAAGAAGAGGTATTATTCCAAAAACTTGTATTTTTCTGACAGCACTGCCCACTGTGGCACCACTGTGGGAAGTCTACCAATCTTGTTACAGCTTCTTGGGAAACGTGCAGCTTAAAGATTCCTCAGATATTTTCTACAGCTGTTTATGAGTTGTCTTCCTTCTTCTATTTTATGTTCTTTTGTATTTTCTTAACTTTGTACTAATTACCCTTGGGTAATGATTGGTTGTCCTTGCCCCCATTCCTCTCTCCTATATGAAGAGGCTTGGGAGAGCCATTTTGAGGTGTGCCAAACACCATTTTGAAGACATAACTCTCTAAGTGTGTCTCTTCTCTTTTAGTAATTAATATTATGCTTTTTAAATGTTTTTTAATTTATGTCTTTAATTTCTAGTATTTTTACTTCCTTGTACTTGTAATTTAGTTTTATATTAATGCAATTTATATTTCAGTATTATTTTATGTTTTTAATTACTTTCATTATGTCTAGCTAAATTACTCGTATGGGTGTGGGTGTGAGTTTAACTTAGGATGTTTATATAATATTTGGGTGTTTTTATCTTTTATCACTTCGTAACTTGGTCACTTAAGACGGTGCTTAAAATGCGGATAAGCTGATCACTTTGAAGTGTTAATATTAGATCTTAGACCCAGAGATGGGCGGATCCGAAATACGACTTAAGTGATGCACAATGAACTCGAGAGGGTCTTTGAATAATTACGCGGAGACGCGAATTTTGCATGCATCTAGCTAGGGGTTAAGCAATATGTATTTTTATCACAAGAGATTTGGGTAAGAACCGCATTCATTTTACTTTTTAGCTAGATCGGCAAGTTCCGAAGTGATAAACGTAAAAACCTTGTGGAATTTTATGAGGCTCGGTTATAAAAGTTCACTTTCGAGAGATCGGAACTTTTATAAATAACTCGTAAAAGTCTAACCATTTTATTGTTAATTTTATCTTAAACAACACTTGCACCCATGCCCATCATTTAATATTAGAAGTTTATTTCGTTAATTAGCTAGTCGGTCCTATTTCGGTCTTTTTATAAACAAAAATCCAACTTTATTTTACATTTAGAAACTCGTGCAAGAAGTTCATGAAAAGTCTCTAAATCTCTATCTTCTCTGTGGGAACGATCTCGGTACTTTGTACCACTTTATTACTTGCAAGCGATCATAGTGTCGGCGTGCTCTTGCACCGCTACTGTGGGGACATTCTGCCCATTAGGAGAACACGAATAATCATAGCCTGTCACTTACCCGGGTAAATGTTGGTAAACAGCCCCTTATTTTTGATTTATGAATCATTATATATTGATTAGCGAACAAAGTCCATATCAATATAACTTTAATTTTAAAAAACTTTAGCAATAAAACTTCAATCATCCCAAATGGTTGGTTTAAGACATGAAATGACGATAATAAATTCTTAAATTTGTCAATGAAAAAAAATAATATGAAAGAAAATTTGGGTTTGAATTGAATGCAAAGAGAGGGTCGAAAAAATATATATAAATTATGGAATTAAGGCGTGATTAAATTGGCAGAGGGTCTTCTGTGACTCCAATTGAGGTCTTATTAGACACTGTTGTCGTCGTCCTTCTTCCCGGATCATCGCCAACTCTTTGTTACAAAGAAGAATCACTAGGGTTTATTCACATGTACCTTTGATCCACCATTGTTGTACGATTTCTGTCTTTTGATCTTTTAGTAGACTCAGTAAGATCAAGGTATTCTTCATGAAAAATAGGGTTTTATTTCTTTTACTCGTCTTTTCCATATCATTCATTTTCATCCATGGAGAGGAAGCAAAAACTAACAAGTTTCGCGAACGTGAGGCCACTGATGATGATTTAGGTTATCCCAACTTGTAAGTCTTCTTATTTGTTATTTTGAATTTCTTCCATCTTTTGCATGAATGGTTTCTTGTTGTATTATTGAGTTACTTATATGTTTTTTGAGACATCCCCTCACCCGTGTGTTTCGCATTCTAATTATTTTGAATTATGAGCTCCTAATAAAGACCTAGAAGCAATCCTTACCATGAGATTTGCTGATTTTGAGGTTGTTTGGTCAGCTCGCTAGATTTGGATTATTAACGGCTCAAATAGGTGAAGTAGCTTGAACTTGGATGATGGTTGTGGGTTGTGTTGTGTGGCCTGTAAACAGGGATTGTAGTAACCTGGTCTTGATTGCTGATTATAGGGCTTCTAGTAGGTGATCCTATAGCTTCTCATCGTGGTTGCTGATTGGGGATGGGGGGAAGGGAGGACAACTACAACGCTCTAGATTGATAACGTTTTATTGACATCTTCTAGTTGGTTATGGAAAAGCCAAGTCATAAAAGTCGATTAAGAGCCACACCTCGACTTTGGATCAAAGGGGTTATTTTTCATATTTAAATTGAAGTGGAGTTAAAAGCTTTTCAGTAATATTCGCTAACATCATTAAACATGATAACAGGTAATACAATTAGAATTGTTTTGTTGTTCTAGTTGAAGGAAAATTTGTAACAATTTTGCATTTAATAAATACTAGTTTTAACATCCAAAATTAAAATGAACCATATTTTGCTTTTGTTTCTTTGGAACCAAGGAAGTTTATCTGTAGATTTTCTAATACGTACCTATTTAGCATACTGTTTAATAAAGCAGACCAACTAAGACAACCGTAAATTCTTCTAACTGATGATAGTAATTTGAATCCCCCCAAAATTCCTTTTCTTAGAAACCCTTAGCTGCGGCCTGTCCTGTTACCAGGTAGGTGGGTAGCATTCTGTGTCTGGATATTTTGTTTAGTCTCGTTTATTGTCTATATATTACGAGGGTGGGAAGAATGACAGTGTGATAGGCAGTTAATATAAGTGAACTTTTAAGTGTTCCAATTTTAATGCTCTTGGTAATTATGTCTTACCATTTACATCTTTTACAGTTAGTGCTATGACTAACTTTTTGTTTTTGTTGTGGTAGCAATGAGGATGAATTGTTAAATAAACAATGCCCTCAGAATTTGGAACTAAGATGGCAGACAGAAGTTAGTTCTAGCATATATGCAACACCATTGATTGCTGACGTTAACAGGTAAAAGAGAGTCGGAAACGGTCTTCTTGATGTAACTACATTGTTATACCAATTTTTTGGTATATGTTTTTCCATTCTTTCACTCAAGAACTAAAGGTCAGGCCAGGCACCACAAGCTGCTAAAAGATTGAAGTTTCAAACCTGGCGGTACCTCCATTTAGGAAAAACTGTTTTCGTTCGGCCTCTTCATGTAGTATTTCAAGCTACCTTACTCATTCGAGGATATATAGATTAATTCTGGATGGAAGTTCCAAGGACTTCATGCCTTGTCTATTATTTAAATTTAATTGTTGAAGGGTTGCGGTGCTAAAACTATGAGTGTTGGTTATCTAGTTTTCCAAATTCCCAGCTTTGATATTGATCTTCTTTGTGGTTGCTTTTCTGTATCTCAGTGATGGCAAGCTTGATGTTGTTGTTCCATCTTTTGTTCACTACCTCGAAGTCCTAGAAGGTTCTGATGGAGACAAAATGCCAGGTATGTCATCTGTGATAGTTAGTTGCTTCTTGTTTATTTCTCTGCATTGTTTATGAGGAGCAGTTTGATGACATGGTTTCGGATAATGTGTTATGGAATAACTTCTAATGGGTAATCCACTTGATAATATATCTATCACTTATTTTTTAGCATGAAAACATCATTTTTACGTTTGGAAGATAAAAGGGACTAGGAGGGATATTTTTTTCATAAGAAAAGCACATTACAAAAACTACGAGATGGATGGCAGCCATGAAACCACATATGATATTACATAAATAGTTTGGAGCACCCCCACCGCTCCGGTCTCGCTACTATTAAATATATCTAACACTTAAGTTGGAGCGTTGATATCAAACATGTGCACAATTGTTGCATACAATTTTAATCCGAGCTCTACGAATTGACTTAATCAAGATATCAACAACTTGATCCCTTGAGGATCGGGTCGCTATAAGAAAGTTGCATCCTTGAAATATCTTTCGATTTGTACCACAACGTTCCAATGGCTAGTATGGGGAAAGTACATGAACAACTCACCACACTCAAAATGGTGGCTGTTAGATAGTTTAACTCTCCAACTAGCTTCTCATATCTCCTTTGATCATCAAAGAATACACCTTTATCTTGATAGTCTAGCTTCCCAACCTCAAGCAATCAAGGACATTCATCACTTGATAAGGAAGAAGCGGCTCTTGATGGAATCTATTCACCTTACTTGCAAAGAAGTGATTACCTGTGCCCTAATGTCACCCACATAAATTATAAAAATGACTTTTCTACCATGCCTATGTCTGAAGAAAAGTAGTAGAAGCTACAAACCTTGCCAAGTCTCTTTGGTGCCTTGGAGAAAACCAAACTCAGGGAGTCTTTTTGAGGCCAAACAAGGATATGAAACGAAAAACCTTGGAGGCTTCCTTGTGAATGGCAAAACAATGTAAGTCTCCTAAAGAACATGTTAAGAAATGTTCTCTTGATATAAAGTTCACAAAGTTGCTCAAGATGAGTGACGGCCTAAGCAATCATAATACGTTTTGAAGTCATAGACTTAAATACCAAATGTCTCCCTGATAATTCTTATTGCACTCAAGGACAATATCACCTTTAATAACCAATGTTACACTTAAGCCTATCAAGAAGTATTAGGAATACTTTCACTTTGTATACCCTCTTAGACCCAACAAAGGTCTTCCTTGAAGGAACAACAAAAATGTACATTTCATTCTAAAGGAGCAAATGTTTCCTGCTCTATGTAGCTTTCCATCAACATGAAGCTTGAGCTGGGGACATGATAAACTACCCATCGTAGGCATAAATGCGAAGTGATGGGAGGATAAGCAGTTGTAATGAACATGGTGATTGGTGAGAAATAAGATAGCTTATACACTGATATGATTACCAATACAATTTCAATAACAATTGCTCTTAACAATGATTATTTTTAAAGTATCTGACGTAGTAAAAGTAGGGTTTGTAAAGGATTAATGTTGGTGGAGGTATAATCTTGCATTTAGGATCATGGGAACAAGATTAATATCTTCATATTTCCTCTTTGAAGTGTAGAAATAGTAATATTCAATCAAGTTGATTTTCTTTTTCCTGTTAGAAGGCAAAACATGAGTAAAAGGACCAAAGGGCATTTGGCCCAACGACACCTTGGTTACCATTAGAGCTCAACCTTCCAAGGGTCAAGGGTTCAAAACTCACCAAAGGTGAGGAGGGTGCTTGAGTATTTGTTGTATATAAATATTAAACACTTCAAAAAAACACGAGCAAAGAGCTTCAACCAAAGGGCAGACAAAAGTTCAGTAGGCTGTACGGTGAAAAAGTAACTAGAATCAAGATAGGTAACATGTACACAGAAAATTTATTGCCTTATGCTATGACTATAATGCCTCATGCTTTTGTGCCCTAGAATAGTCTACCAAGACACACCAAGATACTAAGGGGTCACGATTAGCAAGATATGTTGGTACAAGGGAGCACAAGAGAATAAGACTTGATAGGCAATTTAACTCTATAACATGGGAAGTGCATATGCTTAATCAAATAAACAACTATAAGGACCCCCTTGCATCAATACTGGTGGTACACCTTGGTGAATGAAGCATGCTACTTCTAATGGATGTTGTAGTGTGCTTTCAGTATCTTTGTTCCCTTGAGGTGTATACATAATCTATACTATTAGAATGCAAAAATTGGTAATTTCATGCGAGAGGTATTTACATGCATCACCACTGAGGGAGATTTTAATAAAAGTAAACTGATTTTTTTGCAAGTACAGAAATACTTTAAATTGATAAAATCTCTACGTGCATTTCGAACAAGTAACTCCAAATTACTCTAGGGAAATCATCCATTAAGGTAACAAAGTACCTAAAGTACTTGTGACATAAGTAAATTGATACGTCTCAGCCCGACCCGCACTGGGGTCGGATATATTAGCGTCGCAAAAGAGAGGCAGGAAACAAGTAGAGGGGGGCTGTTTGCAATTTCCTTATTCTTAATTAGTTGATTAGGAAAGATATTAATTAGTTTATTAGGATAAATATGTTTTCCTATTTTTTAGGATTAGGGGGTCGGCCACCCGATTAATGGCATTCAATTAGATATTTTTATTATTGTCGTTTGACATTGGAGATTCCCTGGTTCTCGAATTCCAGGATTTATCCGTAAGTATCCAATTAGCGGTACGTTTGGCCGCTAGTCTTGATTTTGCCAAATTGATTCGTATCAAATTGGTATCAAAGCATCGATCTTGTGCCTGTGATTTTATCCACGCTACCATGACCAAGATTTAGGATCTTGAAGTCGAGTTGACCCAACAGAAGGCTGCCATCGATCAGTTCCGCGCTGAGACGACGGAGCGGTTCGAGAACTTGGACACCACCATGGAATCGTTGCGCACTGAAACAGAGAAACGACATGCGGAGATGATGAAGGTCATGTTGCAACAGTTCCAGGCGTTGAAGCCGCCACCACCGTCGACAGCAGCCATGCCATCACCAATCTTCACTGATTGCACCACACAGCCCATAATGCAACAATCGAATCCGATTTTTGATGAGAATGGGGTGCCCTGCCGTCTTGGCATGCAACCAGCAGTACGGCCAGGGAACTGAACAGGCCCATCAGCACTCAGGAAATTCCTTTTTCGGAGTCAGGTATGTTTGCTTTTTCTGAGATTGAAAGGCCGTTTGGCAGCAGGTATGGAAGGGGCTCAGGACCTTTGGGGGAACGGGGGTGGGTGCCGGGGACGGACTACCGTCTTCGTAAGCTGAAGATGCCGCTGTTCAATGGAATTGATGCATATGGGTGGGTGTACCTCATGGAAAGATTTTTCAACGTTCAGGGATTTGTTACTATGGGGAAGAAGTTGAGAGCGGCGGTGTTGGGGTTGGAGGGATAGGCCCTTGCATGGTACCGATGGAGTGATGATAGGCACCCTTTTCGTCACTGGGAAGGATTAAAAAACCGGTTGTTGGCTCGGTTCCAGTCATCTCAGGAAGGGGACCTATACGAACAATTTTTGGCAATTAAACAGGAAGGGTCGGCACGCGAGTATGTAGGGAAATTTGAAACAGTATCGGCACAGCTAAGGGGTATTTCTGAGAAGATTATGCAGGGTACATTCCTAAAAGTGTTGAACCGGAGCTACGAACTTCCGTGAGGTTGCTTCAACCAGTGGACTTAGATCAGGCGATCCAACTAGCTCTTATGGTAGATGAAATAAAACTGTCAACACTGGGAACGCGGAAAAAGGGGAAAACAAAAGTCGGCCAGTGCGGACCGGAGTGGGGGGCTCACGGCCGATGGCTGCCCCACCAACGGAACCCAACGACCTACAACAGGGGGTAACGAACAACCGTTTAAACGGATGACAGACTCGGAACTGGCGGATAAACGGGCTAAGGGCTTATGTTTTCGATGTGACGGGAAGTTCACACCCAGACACCGTTGCCCCGAGAAATCCCTGCGGATCATGTTAATGGATGATGAAGATGACGAGGGGGAAGAGGTAACACCGGAAACTCACGCGCACTTGGATGCGATGGAGGTGTCAGTACACTCAGGTGGTGGAGCAGTTCCCTGGCTTTCACCTTGAGGACAAGGTGAATCTTTGGGGCGGGGGTAATGATACGTCTCAGCTCGACCCGCACTGGGGTCGGATATATCAGTTTCGCAAAAGAGAGGCAGGAAACAAGTAGAGGGGGGCTATTTGCAATTTCCTTATTCATAATTAGTTGATTAGGAAAGATATTAATTAGTTTATTAGGATAAATATGTTTTCCTATTTTTTAGGACTAGGGTATATTTTTTAGGATTAGGGTACGGCTTTATTTAGAGGGGTCGGCCACCCCATTATTGGCATTCAATAAGATATTTTTATTATTGTCGTTTGACATTGGAGATTCCCTGGTTCTCGAATTCCAGGATTTATCCGTAAGTATCCGATTAGCGGTACGTTTGGCTGCTAGTCTTGATTTTGCCAAATTGATTTGTATCATAAATCCATGTGAGTGTATAGAAATCATCCAACAAGGTTACAACTACCTAAATCCACAAGCAGACTTTGACATATTTAGGCTCGCCCCAGAACATAAAATCACTACTTGCTTGAGACTCATTCCTAGAAAGGTTTTGCTCAGCTGATAACTCTTGGAAAAATGCAAACACCGAGTCATGTCCTCTCCGGTGTTCCAAGAAAGATGACCCAATTGATGGGGTACATTTCATATACTTTTACCACTCATATAAGCAATGTAGGAAAGAGGTCCATCAAGCCAGTGCAGACATTCATGTTCTGTCTAGGCACTTTTGTGTTCGTTTAAAGTGCAATTAGTAGGAAAAGAAAGTAACTGAACAATTTGAGCAGTGGTGATTTTTTAAGTAGTTACTAGATGAGGTAGGTATATCAAACATAAGCGAACTTCAACTATTAGATTTTTACTTCTATGAATCCTATACTCCATGTGGAATGAGAGTTATTAACGATCTTGGATAAAGTGTGCATGGAGATAATGTGGATAAAACACATTTGTTGTGGTTGAAATAGCAAAAGCTGATAAACAACTATTATGATTTCATGCTTGTCTTGCAGTGATATGACAAATAGCCTGCTCCTTAGAGGGCGGAAAGTGTTGATAAAATTAAGTTCCACCTTACCAAGTTTGGCAATAGGAGTGGAAGCAGTATGTAGCATGCATTGATAATGGAACCTTGCTCTCTGTGAAGCAACCAAACCCCTAGACTGAGTGTCTCCAATAAATCTCCAATCCCTTACTAAAGTATCTCTGGGAATGACCTCATCTGATACTCTTATCATAAGCTGCTGCAAAGTCTTTCCACTGTGCTTAAACCTTTCATAGCAACTAACAGTAATGCCTTTCTTAGCTTTACCTTTTACCTCATCATGATTGATCTGGGAAAACCAATCATGATTGATCTGGGAAAACCAAATGGTCAAACATCTATATAGTCAAAAGGAATCATACTCAAACCAGAAATGTTCAAAACTATTATGAAGTCGATTGAAATTCTTAACCCAAAAAGTCAAGCCTGCCCTATGCCCAGTCAACAGAAAAACCAACACCAAGTCTAGGTAAAGCAATGGAGTTCCATAAAACAATCAGCAAATCATCAGCCTTCAACATTTGATCAATCAAAACTAGTAACACACGGGAAATAAACCACAAGGGTTGTGGCATAGTGGTTGAGGTCCTGGCGGGTATGGTGGAATATCCCACTGGCCAGGTTCCATTCCAGGTGTACACAACAGTTGTGGCCACTGAGTTTATTAGGGCTGATTTCTTGCTGTCACAATTTGCCAGGATTAGTCCAGGCATAGCCTGGAACACCCTTCCAAAAAACACACACAAAGGAAATAGATTGATTTGAGTCCTTACATAGTCCAAAATGCATGATAAGACTACCTATCAGGCCTGAATCCTTTTGCTGCAACAAGCTTGTTCTAGCAGAATGTTTGCGACTAAAAAACATTGCTTCAGCAAGACATTGAGATTGCTGCAAATGGAACTCACAGTAGTAGGCCAATTTTTGTTTGTTGCTATCTTTTTTCTTGGGGGGGGGGGGTATCAAAGTTTTGCATCTGCATCATCTAATCGTGGGTGATGTTGTGTGGGCGTATTTGATGCTCAATTTGTGCCTTCTTGCCACCGAACAAGCACTCTCCACAAAATCCCCATGATGTCCTAAAGTTTTGTAGGGAAGTTGAGTTGCTCGAAATACAGTAAAACACGCATGTCATGTAGATTCCTATAAATTCTCAGATGTTTAGGTGCATTCTAGACGTAATCTAGTACAACCCTAAAATGTTTCTAGCTCTAGAAGTTTCTCGAATTTTGATGCTCCTTATTGCTATCCTCATTTCTCATATCTAAGAATCAATCCCATAAATCTAGGAACGCTTCTAAGAAATTCACTCGACAAGTCTCTTAGTATTACAGTGAGTGTTCCACCCAAGTCTTGTATAAAAGCAGATGAGGCTGACTGAGCATGCAGAAAGCAAACTAGCTTGTCATAGCCCTAATGGTTAAGGCAAATACACCATTCTCATGGCACTTATAAAGATTCTATTGTTAGTTTGAGCTTATAACTTCTGTTATATGATTTATCAGGATGGCCTGCTTTTCATCAGTCCACTGTTCATGCCAGTCCACTCTTATATGATATAGACAAGGACGGTGTGAGAGAAATAGCTTTGGCTACATACAATGGCGAGGTGCTCTTCTTCCGGTACAACCGTTTTATTCATTTTTGCAGCGTTTTTCCTTTTCATCTTATTGCAGGCTATGGAACATCCAGATTCAGTGTTGTTTTATTTACACTTCTGCAGCACTTCAGGTTATATGATGTCAGATAAATTAGAGGTTCCAAGGCTAAAAGCTAAAAGGGATTGGTATGTGGGGTTGCTTCCAGATCCAGTGGACCACTCACATCCAGATGTTCATGACGATCTACTCATTAAGGAGGCTGTTATGCACTCCATGCCTCGTACGTCCTTATGCTTTATAATAGAATTATGCTCCTGTGATTGAGTAAAATATGCTTTGGCCACTCTGCCAGAAAAGTTATTTATTTGGATTTATTTGGATTTTTTGGATTTTGGCTTCTTTACTCATGTTGTAAGTTGGGACCAAACTTTTTTGCACCAGTCATACTTGTCAAAAAGAGTGACTTGACTGATTTGTAATTATTTGAAGCCAACTGGTCAAGTCACTTCTTTTGTCGAAAAGTTGCACCAGTGGGCAAAAGGTGGTTGGGAAATAAGGTACACTGGCCAAATAAATATTTTGTTTGTTAGTAGAGTGGAAAAAGATATCTTACTCGATATTATTAGGCCAAACAGATATTTCTTTAAAAGAAGGATTTAGTCTTTGCATAGTTGCTTGATCTTATGATACGAAAAAAGATGCAGTAAATTTCTATTGAAACTTCCATGGATTATCGATTTTTTGTTTGATTTTAACTTTTTTTTAACATAACATTTACTTGAGATATATCCATTCTGATTAGTATTAAACAGAAGCCACTTATAAGAACTCAATAATGGTGTAATGGACAATATGTTTGTACGTTTTCTACATCATTTGTAGCTCAAGAAAACTTAGCATTAAGTGTAGCAGTGGTAATGCTTCTGCAAATTACGCAACTACAATTTTCAATCTGAACTTTCTTTTTCTCTTTTTTGAAGTGATTAATATGCTAGCACTCCTTCCTCCAATTTATTGGATGGGAATTATTTTTACGAAGGATGGATTTCCCCTTTATTTTCTCCGAAGATGGAAAAGTTTATTTCCCCTCTTTTATTAGTAGTGATTATGGAAAAATTAGCTGTTTCTTCTTCTATTAGCACCGGTTATAGAAAAGTTCTTTTTTCTTCTATTTAGCAATAAATATGGAAACACTTTTTCCTCTTTTCTATTATAAGGTATTGGAAGAGGGACAGGTGCAGAGTTTTGAGGGTACTGGTGATTAAATAGGGTAGTTTCTGTATCTTAATGTGGGTCATATAAACAAAGTAGGAATGAAGTCTTAGAGCATCTGAAAGTGGGGATAGAAATATCTTGAGATAGTAAGGGTTCTTCTAAAGGAATGCATATGTTGTAGTTAAGGTTTAGGAAATTAATTTTTTGCTCGATAATCAGTTATATACGAGGAGCTGTTCATCAGACATTATGACCATCTTGTGACCTCTATTTCATCATCAGTTGCAGTTGTATGCATCTGAGGTTAACCTACGACTTTTGCTTGAATCAAGTGGCAATTGTAAACATAAATTAGTTTGACTAACAATAAACTTCTCTAATACTGGCTTTTTAAAAATTAGATCAGAACATCAAACTCAAAATTATAAAAATGTCCCAGAGATATCTAATGAGCCTACACTTCAATAAATATTTCTCCAGCCCCCGGAGAAGCCAACCATACATCTGACGTGGAGGAGAATAAGGGGAAAGAGAATGAAATGCAGCTGAAATCTGAACCGCCAAAGAATACAAGGAATACTTCTTTTGAGGAACATGTCAGAAATCCACAGAATGAGAGTGATGCAAGTACAAATGCATTGGAGAAAGGCAGCAGTGATGCACAAAATAAAACTAGTGTACATATCGAGTTGCCAAAGGACGTACTTAATATCTCATCAAATGCTGCACCGAATAATGTAGAAGGTACACCTAGTGAAACGAAGAGTGGAAGACGACTTCTTGAAGAAAAATCAGAGGACGCTTTACATACTAATATCAATAATCCCAAGGATGTTCCTGTGGCAACCGTGGAAAATGATGAAGGCCTGGAGGCTGATGCTGATTCGTCTTTTGAGTTATTCCGTGACAATGAGGAGCTGGCGGATGAGTATAACTATGACTATGATGATTATGTTGATGAAACAATGTGGGGGGATGAGGAGTGGACTGAAGCACAGCATGAGACATCTCAAAACTATGTGCATGTTGATTCACACATTTTGTGCACTCCTGTAAGTCTTACATGGCAGGGACCTTAGTAGTTATGACTATGGTTATGTGATGTTGGAATGAAATGCAATTTTTATTCCTTTTTTTCAGGTGATAGCTGACATTGATCAGGATGGGATTTCGGAGATGATTGTTGCAGTGTCATACTTCTTTGACCATGAGTAAGTATCCTCCTATTCTATCTGGTTTGCGCCTAGATGACCGAATGTTGTTATGTCCATGTATATATGTATAGTTTGTTATATGAGCATTATAACCCAGGTTCACTATGGGTTTATTCAATCTGAGTGGTATCTGCTTGAAAGGCGGCACACTATCGTGCCTGTATGGCTCTTTAGCTTGTGTCAGGTTATACTCATCTTTGATTGGGTGAAATGGCATGGATTTATAAATTCAAGTGGTTTTGTGGTGAATTGCTGCTTACCATGTCCATAATTATGAATCACCAGATCCATACCTACATCCACCACCATGTCTCTTGTGTGCGATTCCTTGAGCTGCCTCCAGCTATCAAAACTCAAAACTAGGACTCAACACAAATCTACACCAAAAACTGGTACTGGTAGTGGCAAATGAAGGAGAAAAGATGAAAACTCATCCATTAGAATCACCAAGATTCATACATACATCACCACCATGTCTTTTGCATGTGATTCCTTCAGCTGCCTCCAGCTATCAAAACTCAAACCTTGGACCCAACACAAGTATACACCAAAACATGGACTGATAGTGGCAAAATGAAGAGAAAAAAGGTGAAAACTCACCATTAGATTCCCAAGGTGGGTTTTTTAATTAAAGCCGCATGTTGAGCAAAGATATTTCTGATATGTTGCTGATAATGGATTAACATCCCTAATAGTGTTTCCCTTGTATGATCAATTAAGATTCCATCCAAGCAAGAACCAAGTGTTACTCCCTCCAATCATCAAATTAACATCTGTTTGGCGTTTCTCTCTCTCTTTTCTATGCCAATTATGAAATTTCCTTATGTTAAGAAGATGCCTTGACTATGGCATTATGCCTTCAAGCTTTAGTTAGAATAGATTGTAGGACCGTTCCCGTAGGATTGAGGGAATTGGCATCCTAGAGACAGGTTATTATCATGGTGAAGTTGGATTACAATTGTCTAACTTTTTGTTTAATCTAATTTCAGTTTGTAAGCTTGATTAAAGACTTCGATTAATGAAACACAAGTACACATTGAAGGTTAACATTTTAATACTCGACCATGCTTCATTTAGACAGTTATCATATACAAAGCGTTTAATAGTTGTCAACTACCACGAGCTTTTATATCAAGTTTAAACAATTTGAAAAAGTGCTCAAACACTAGAATCGAATATTTATCTAACATGATTGCCAAGGTTTTAAAAAACGGAATCGGGCCTTGAGGCGCAAGCCCCGTGGAAGAAATTATATATATATATATATATAATACAAGATTTATATTATATATAGTAGATACTAAATACAAGGTTGTAAAGTATGAAAATGCAGCAGGTACAAAATAAATACATGCAAACTGACAGATATGCATATATAAATATTATACTAACAAAGAAAAAAAATGTATTTATATATTAATATACATAAAGTATACCCAGCTCAGAAATATATACACATATATATATATTATATATACTAACAAAGGAATATATATATATATATATATTAAAATACATAAAGTATACTTGGAGAATATATATAAAAATTGTACTACAAAGAAATATATATATATATATATATATAGACTTGGGATCATGTGAGACCAGCCTGTTTTCGTGAGACCCGTGAGACCAACATTTTACACTTGAAATTTCACAGCAAAAATGCTGTGAAGGTGACTTTTTAAAACCTTCACAGTGTTTTTGCTGTGAAGGTTCGACTTTTTAAAACCTTCACAGTGTTTTTGCTGTGAAGTTTACGTGTAAAAATGTGGTCTCACAGGTCTCACGAAAACAGGCTGGTCTCACGTGAACCCAACCCTATATATATATATTATACGTAAAGTATTCACCTCAGAAAGCTAGATACACACTCATATACGTATATCTCTGTGTGTGTGTGTGTGTGTTACAAGTCCGATTGCATCATGTATAAGTTTCAATTGCAATCCTTATCCAAAAAGTTAATTGGAGAAGCAAGCAGGTACACTTTTCGGATTCCAGCATTAGGTGGAACTGGAAAAGTATGTATGTGTATATATATTTTATGATTCTGTGTGAGAGGGAGAAAAAACACTCAGAATATATATATATATATATATATATATATATTGGCGAAGCATCGTATGAGAAAGAGAGTTAAGGTGAGAAGCCTAAGAAGGGATTTGGACCCTTGATCACTTTTAATCTCTTCCCACCCATGAATTACGCTTCTCACGGGAATTGATCGGGTACATCTCGGTGCATCTTATCCTAATGTGCATCTAAGGGTGGAGATCCCTTCTTACACTTCTCACCTTAACTCATCTTCTCACCGCAACCAATCTTATATATATATTATGATTGTGTGAAAGAGGGAGAAAATTCAGAGAAAAAGCACTGTTGATATCTGATGCTTCCCCCTTTGTAGTCCTTCAATAAACTAAAAAGGAAAAAACAAAAGCTACCGCCTCACCGCTTCTGCCCACGCTCCTAACAACCAAAACGTACGGCCCAGGGAACCCTTTTGAGGCGCCGCCTCACATACTTTTTTTGGATGCCTCATCTTGGGTATGCTTCCCACGCTTTTGAAAACCACGATGATTGCAGCTATATTCACATAGAGAAGTTACTTATTCATGTAAATGTAACAGTAACCGTAAAAGAAAGAAAAAAAAAATACCAAACCTATATAAGAGGCACATGATGCATACTATTAATCACCAAATCCTCCTTAAAGGCAAAGAAGCCTTGCAGATTCATAAGCAATCCAAGAGCAGATAACACATTCTTACAACTCATTCCTGTCTATCTCCCAGAATCCTGCTTCAAGAATACTTGTGGTTCAAAGATTCTTCCTTCGTATAGGAATTCTTCATGCTTGAAGAAAGTTATATTGAGCAACAAGGGCTCTTTCTTCACCTAATTCTTCATAGCTTCTAGAGAACTTTGTTAGTGACAGTGATCAAGGTGCTACAAAATATACCCATGCTTACCTCAAATAAGCAAGTGATACAATTGAAATTCTGAATTTAATTTTATGTGTCCAAGCTAAGTAAATGTAGACACACTAAATTATTGAACATGCTCTTACATAAGGGAACACTTTCACTCCAGATTTGATAACTTTCTTAGAAAGGCAGTCCCCTCCAACTCGCATGTTGGCCTGAGCTAGATGGAAATGAGCTACTTTAATCTTCAGATCTTAGATAGACCCTCACATCAGAATATTCTTGAGTTATATGATACCTCCTCAATGACCCTCAAATAAGTAGAGGCAAGAGATAATGCTGCTATAAATGGGAGACCATCACCACTCGTGAGAGCTCATGTCTAAACCAGATTCGCACTCTTGAACCCTATATGACATCCTGCTCAAATCGTCTACAACTGAAGTAAACATGAATAGGGAAAGGGCCTATGACCAACATACATAGCTTAAAATACGAATTCCATGCATATCGATTTCTCACTGTTTCAATCGTGATGTGAGAGTGCAGAGATCTATTCATCTATTCTTTGCATGATTTCCTTCATCTTCATAGGGGTGTAGATGGATTACTCATGACTCAGAAATTGCAACCATGTCCATTCTTTCTGTTGGTATATTCTGTTATTGTTGATTATATTTCTACAGTGGGCTCAGACATAAAGCTTTTGAATTCAACCCCATTTAATGTTAAACTTCTGTTTCCTATGCATATCGCAAAATGAATTGAAGTTTCTTTGTTTGTTTTTGTCCATTAGTATTTTGTGTGTGTACTCTGTCATATAGGGCTTTTGTGGATTATATGTACCAAAATCATTGAAAAATATCCATCTATCATGTTAGTACTTTTGAGGTGCAGGCCTTTTGCCTTGTGAGTCCAAATCTGTAACCTGCATTCAGTGGTCTTTGATAAGTACTCTATGTGAAGACTTAACCTCAAAACACTTAATAATACTTTCAAGCTATTCTATGGTAGCACACATTGGTTTGTTGTTCTTTTCACCATGGTTATCCTTCTCAGGTACTATGATAACCCAGAGCGAGTTAAGGAGCTTGGTGGTATTGACATTGGAAAATATGTTGGTGGTGGTATTGTTGTTTTTAACCTTGAAACCAAACAAGTTAAGTGGACTGCAGCATTGGATCTAAGTACAGATACCGGGAAGTTTCGTGCCTATATATATTCCTCTCCGACGGTGGTTGATTTGGATGGTGATGGATACCTAGACATCCTTGTTGGAACTTCTTATGGCTTATTCTATGTCCTGGATCATAAAGGTAATAGAATCTGAAAGTGCCAGTATTTCATGTATGTTACTCCCTCTGTTCGGGAAAAAGAAACATTCAAGTCGTTTTGTAAGAGCTTTATAGATAGAATCCTTGTCAAAGTTCCAGATTTTCTCTTACAGTTGAGGAAACTAACCGTGATCAGATGGTGATGCAAGTTTGGGAAGATTGTGTCATTTATTTGTAGGTTTTAAAGTGGAAATTTTTCTTTAAAAAATGTTTTTCCCTTCTTTTAGTTGTTGGGTATTGGGGGAAGGAAGGTGTGTGTTGTTTGGTTTTTGGGTGGTTGTGAGGGGGGGGGGGGATATGGGCTAATGAGGAAATTTGGACTTCTCTTGGAACATATGTCTTATTATTGTTCCTTCTGCGTTTGCTGTATTCTTTACACCAATCATCCATGTCTGCTAACACGGAAATGACCGCTCCAGTCTTTTGGGTAGAGGTGACGTTTGCATACACCCCCCCCTCTTAAAAAAAAGGGCCCTACCTTCGGGTGGGATATATTAGACTTTTTTGGTTTGGTTTGGTTATTCTTGTGTGCTAAAAGTGGACTCCCATACCCTTTTCCCTCTTAAACAAAGAAGATTTCCCCAAATCCACTTGACCACAATTTCTAAATTTCAAGTTGAAAAGTTACATAATTACCCTCTCAATGTCTGATGCTAGGAGGTCTATTTGGATTGGGGCTCTTCTACACAAATAAGCGTCATTGAGATGTGGCTGGAGATCCTAACCACCAGCTCCTGCATCTTGACCTCAGGGTTAAAACACCCACATTTCATCAATTTCCCAAACTTGCTTGACCCTTCTCTTTGCTTTTTTTGGATCTGTCTTGACTAAATTAGATAGATAGAGGAGCTAATAACCACATGAAATTCCTTGTGCATTTCCCAACACTAAGCAGAATATGCTATAAGCTTGCTTGTCTCGTTTGTTGTTATACACTCTAATAGTTTCATTTGCGGGATTGTTTTTCATTGCTTTGCTTTCACAAGTCGTGACACTGTGGGCATAATTTTCGAAGAAATACAATACCATTCATTTATCACTTTTATGAAAATTTGATTCCCCTACTTACTCCTTGAGCAATTGAAGTCTGAAGTATTTTACTGCAGGCAAGGTAAGGGAGAAGTTTCCTCTTGAGATGGCTGAAATTCAGGGAGCCGTAGTAGCTGCTGATATTAATGATGACGGGAAGATTGAATTGGTTACAACTGACACCCATGGAAATGTTGCTGCATGGACTCCAAATGGTGTGGAAATTTGGGAAGCCCATCTTAAGAGCTTAATTCCTCAGGTACAATGCTCTGCTGGTTGTGTTGTTTTATCCTGTTTCATTATGTTATTATGGTTTCAAGCTATATGAAGCGATTAAATTATGGCTTGATTGCTTTTCCCATTCTCCTTAGGGTGTTAGTGTCGGCGATGTGGACGGAGATGGACACACTGATGTGGTGGTTCCAACTATATCAGGAAATATTTATGTTCTCAGTGGAAAGGATGGGTCATTTGTACGTCCATACCCGTATAGAACTCATGGCAGAGTCATGAATCAAGTCCTCCTGGTTGATTTGGCTAAGCGCAGAGAAAAGAAGAAAGGACTTACCATCGTGACAACATCGTTTGATGGCTATTTGTATCTCATTGATGGGCCAACATCTTGTGCTGATGTTGTGGATATTGGCGAAACATCGTAAGTCCCTACATGTTACAAAAAGCTTCTACACTTGTTGACTTCCTATATTGGATGCTTTGTAGGTGCACTTTACTGGGGGTTGTTGAGCTTTTCATGTGGTGTAGCTTTGACTGCAGCCCCGAATTGTTGATCATGGATACTGATGAAGAAGTTTTTGTTTTCTTTAAAATAAGAGCGATGAAGATTCACAAATTATGAACGTAGAAATTAGGGTAAAAATTACAAGTAAAACTTGCGTCTCTTGCCTGAAAGAGGGAAGGAGGACATGCCAATTATTTTAAAGAAAATATATGCTTATTTTATATAATACTCTACATAAATTGTTCCCCTCCCTAATACCTAATACATAGTTCCGTCTATGGAGCCTAAACGTTTCAACCATGCTGAAGGAGCTCGCCAGCCAGTATAACCTATTGTTGGGCATATTCTTTTTTGTTTTTTCATGTATAATCTTACCTTTAAAGTTAGATTTGTTTTCTATGTATGTAATATATGAAAGATGAATTGCAAAAAAAATTACTCTTTTATTGGTTTGGTCAGACTTGTGTGTGTGTGTGTGATTTTATTTTATAAAGGCACCCCCTATCGTTAATTTATTACAATTCTTAGACCCCCTAATCCATGTATCACAAATCAGTCTTGTTGCATTGCATAGCCCTCGAATAACATTTGGTACATTTTCTACTTAATTTCCCATATAATTTAGCTAAAGCCGATGAATTATTTGATCTACAGTTATAGCATGGTCTTGGCGGACAATGTAGATGGTGGAGATGATCTTGATCTTGTTGTGACAACCATGAATGGCAATGTCTTATGTTTTTCGACCCCTGCTCCACATCATCCTCTCAAGGTAGGATAGGAATTTTTTTTTTCTGATATGCATACATTTATCCATATTACTGTCTCTAGTTCTCAATTGTTGATATTATTTCTTTTTTATGTGTTTTCAGGCATGGAGATCGCATAATCAAGGACGAAACAATGTTGCAGCTCGTGTAAACCGTGAAGGGGTCTATGTTACACCTTCATCCAGAGCATTCCGCGATGAAGAAGGCAAGCATTTTTGGGTCGAAATAGATATTGTAGATAAACACAGGGTACCATCTGGCTCTCAAGGCCCTTACAATGTCACGGTACGAACAGTGTTCCCAGACTCTTTCATTACTAATACTCCCCTCAGCCAAGAATGAATGCAACTTTGATTGTGTGCGTATATTTTTTTGGAAGTATATGATATTCATGTACAACAAATGAACTCACACATCCTCCTTGCCTTTTAGCTATTTTTTCAATTTACACCGTAATGGCAAAATAGGGTAATATTTTGATCCATAATGAATGTTATCAATATTTTGTAATGATTACTAATTGACAAGTGGGTAAATATTGGATTGACACTTTTACAAGAAAGCAAATACATTCATCACTAGATGACCTGGAAATGGAACTTTGTGGATTGTGGTAGCATATAGAAGAAGAAGAAATAATCAAGAGGATGTTCCAAGTTACTCAGGTATCCTTGGATGGTAGCTAGTTAGCCTTAATTTAGGCTGCATGATTCACTTTCCCATATTTTGTGGGTTTCCTCTTATGTCAAGCGTTCAAGCCAAGTTATATGTTGCCAGCTATAATTTTAAGAAGTTGATGGATGGTATTTTGGTGCATAAGATTCCCCTTATTCTATCAACATAGAAGAATATTGTAGATATTTTATTAGGAGAGTTGATTGTTGCAATGTAATGGGACGAAAGGGGTATATTCTCTTTCTTTACGCATGTTATGGATTTTCAGAATTATATCTAGGAGAGCTCCCACTATCCTGGAACATCATAAACCAATATCTTAGGTCACTCCTCTTTACCTAATTGACTCTTGTCAAATTGATGCTGTTGGTTAGATTCGTCCATTCCAGTTCGATTCCATTATTATAATTTTGTTTCCTCAAATATCCTGTGTTAATAATTTAAAAACGATATTGATAATTTAAACAAGAATAAGTTTTTAACAGTTGTTAGCTAGCACTGACATCAAAATGATGAAGATGAGGCTTAAACAGTACATTAGGGGGGAGTTTCGGAGCACTTTGAACACAATTACACAATGGCGTTGGTTAGTTGAACATGTATGTCAACAGTAGTTTGTTACATTTGAAGCAGTCTCAACTCTCAAGTATATTACAAGTGAGGAGCTACTTGGTGTTTTTTCCATTAAACCCTGTATGGGTTAAGCTGTCTGTATGGATTAAGCTAAATTGTTTGTTTGTTTATTGTGCTGATTAAACTGTGTGGATGAAATTAAATAACCGTTTACCCTGTGATGTTTATTTTTTGCTTTATAACGAGTTTTTGTGCTGAAGAAACTGTCTGGATCTGTGATTTGATATGGTTTTGCAGACATCATTGTTGGTTCCTGGGAATTACCAGGGGGAGAGAACAATCAAGAGGAACCAAGTGTTTGATAAGCCGGGAAAATATAGGATAAAGCTGCCAACAGTAGGAGTAAGGACAACGGGAACAGTGGTGGTGGAGATGACAGACAAGAACAAATTACAGTTTTCTGATGAGTTCTCCTTAACCTTTCATATGCATTACTACAAATTACTAAAATGGCTTCTCGTGCTTCCCATGATGGGTATGTTTGCTGTGCTCGTAATCCTGCGTCCACAGGAATCCGTGCCATTGCCGTCATTCTCACGCAACACAGAGTTGTGATAGACAAAAACAAGATATATAGATGGTTTGTTGTTTTTGTGTTGACATTATCTTATAAAATGGGGTAATGTTTGATGGAGTTTTTGACTTGGAAGACTTCTTTTTGTTTCATATAGATAGATATATGTGATTTCAGTTTGCTGCTAATGAGAGGAGAGACTTTCTTTAAAGGAAGTTAGTATTTATTCAGACACTTTTGTTTACCATTCATGGCTAAAACTTCATTCCCTCTAATCTTTTAAAGCAAACATCTGATCTATCATTCAATTTCCATGAATTTTTTTTATTTGATAAAAAGTTATTCAGTTAGCATTTAGAACTTTATGCTATCGTTATCGTCCGATACAGCTGATATCTCGCAGATTGATTGGTTACGGTCAGAACCAATAAAGAATCTTTATAAGGATGAACCTGGTAAGTTTATTGAAAAATTTATTTGGGGGCTCTTTTGGTTAGGGCTGATTCGAATAAAAGGTTTGATTGGAGCTAAGGGGCCGTTTGCCGGTAAAATTTAACACTATCATTTACTTACCGGGTAAGATTTTAATCCACCAAAACGACATCGTATGCAACAATTTACATGGTAAGCGCTTACTGTGGTAAGAGGAGTCGTTTTTACTTACCGGTTAAGACTATTGGTTCTTGTTTCGCTCTTATCGGATAAGATTCTTGATCCTTATTATAATCATCCAGTAAGGTAATGTGACTTGGTAAGTGCTTATCCAGGTAAGCGTTTACTCAATCAACACTTGATACAAAATATTTGGCCCCTAAGTGTAGATTGGATTTTTTTTTTGTTTACCAAATATTTTGTATCAAGTGTTGATTGAGTAAAAAAAAAGACCATTATACCCTTCTTTTTGGAGTAAGCATTGATTGAAAATTATTGTTTATCATATGTATTGTATTAAGTGTCAACTTAAAATGTTATTTATCAAACTTTTTAAATATAATTTCAAATTCTTTTTTGCTTACAAAAATATATTGATACTCAATATGTAAACATATTACAATTTTTATAATTTGGAACATAAAGTCAATTTTTCAACGGCAAAATTTTATTAAACCAACAAAAATAACAACCTTACAAAGAGATCTGCAAAAGACAAAATAATAAAAAGGGAAACGAACCAAACACAACAAGAAACAAAGAAGACTAAAATAAGGACCAACGAATGAAATAACGAACAAAAAGTCATTACAAACCTTTAACATAATTGTTTGCGTACAAATAGTTCGCTTACAGAGTTTAATTTCAAGCATTCAACATTAAATGATTTGGAATCTGATCATGTAAATTAGTCATATATTCATTGCCTTGGGAATCCCATTGTGTTCCTTCAACATCTTCTTTCTCGATGCTTTCTTCCTTGATTCCTTCGTCTTGTTCTTGATGGTAAACATGTTTTTTTCATTATATTCCATAAATAGTCGATCTTGAATATTACATCTCCTTATAAAATTGTGAATTGCGAAATAAGCAATCATTACGTCTTTTTGTATTGGAAAAGAGTAAGGAGCAATTTGTCTTAAAATTGGAAATCTTGCTTTCAAAACCCGGTATGCACGCTCGATGACATTTATAAGTTGTGCATGAGCATGATTGAACCGTTCTTCTTTAGTCAAGGCACGTCGGCGTCAAAAATCTGCTAACCAATACCTTGTATTGTGATATGAGGTCATAAATCCACGAGTGTTGGTATATGCGGTATTACAAAGATAATATTTACCTGCAACTACAAAATGCAATTTAAAAGTATAAGACATAACGAGGTTCAAATGTCAAGAAAAAAAATGAAACATACTTGGTGGAGGAAAAAGTAATCCTGAAGTTGGGTTAAATGCAACTTTTGTCACAACTCGAGAACCATGTGCAATGTCTTCTCATCTAGCCCAAACAAATGTGAATATCATATTAAAATCACAAACCGCTGAAACATTTTGATAGCATTCACCTCTTCCTCTTCCTCTTCCTCTATACCTAGCTTGTTGACTAACGGACACAACTGCATGTATCAAGGTTCCATCTAGCATACCTATAACCCCCTGTTTATGAAATATAAAACATTAGAAAGTATTTATATATGTTAAGAATATTCAGCATATCAAGACAAAACATACTGGAAATATTTTTTTGAGTCGTGTAAATCGCTCCGACATATTTGGGGTTCCTTCAAAGGATGTTGGTTCTATGACTTCTCTCACGAATTTCATCATTCGTCTTCGTACTTCATGAAAACATTTATTAATGGTTTACGTAGAGTGTTGAAATCTTCGTTTAACCATTCGAAAGCGTTCATTGTGACCAATTATTATAAAAAATATGGTCATTTTCACTTCGACGCTCATACACCTACTTGAGTGCACCCAATTTTTTCTTTAAAGTAACTGCATAATAATATGTATGCATCACATGATAAATGCATCAATTCATGACATTGCGTATTTGATCCACTTAATAATTCTTGTGTATATGCATGTCTATTCAATGCTTAAGTGTTGTCTTTTATCCTTTCTGTTCTTGACGAATATTTTTTTTCAAATACAAATAAACAACCACCACAATCAAAATTAACTTGTTCCTGTCAATAACCTTGCAATACAAAACACATATAACATTAACCGTCAAAAGTCCATACAAAGACCAAAACATCTTCCAAAATTCAAACAAAAGACAACATCATCATTGAACATAACATTCATCGATAAAAGTTATATACAAACCAACCAACATATAATGCGCATATAAACCATTTAAGGTTTCAAAAGAGCGCATCAAAAAGTTTAATGTTCATACAGACCATCTAAGGATTCAAAAGAGTGCATCAAAAAGTCTAATGTTCATACAAACCATCTAAGGTTTCAAAAAAAGTGCATCAAAAAGTCTAATACGCATATAAACCATCTAAGGTTTTAAAAGAGCGCATAAAAATATCTTCTTCTAATGTCTAAACAAACGTCGTAATGCTTATATAAGCCCAAGTTGACGTCTCGTGAACTTGGCCCAACCCTCAAACTTATCCTCCTTGAAGCACAATAATATATTCTTATAGTCAGGGCCTAGATTAAAAAGATGAAGTGCTGCCTCATACAACGGACTTCCCCACCGACATTTCTCCAGTTTTTCAATGCAAGCACCTACCTCATATTCCATGGGTTTTTTGTCCAAAGCATTTTGCATAGAAATGACAAGCTTAGACACTTCTTCATCATTTACTGAACTGCTTGGTTGAACATTTTTTCGTTTTTTTTTCTTTGAGATTGAGAACATGAAGAAGACTCTTGTACCGAAGGCTATGTTGCTGAACTTTGTTGATCTTGTGTTTATTGTGTTTGAGGAGTAACACGTGTAGACAATGTTTTTGAACTTTGTTGCTTTTGTGTTTGGGGAGCAATGCATGTAGGATTAGGAACAAAAGAGATCGGCCCCCAACTTTCAATGCCCGTGGAAGCAACTCTATAAAAAAAGTTGAACACAAAGATCTAGAAATGGTAGTGGTGCAGTCCTCAACTTTTCAACATATTTATTAAACTGTTCACAAAAAAAATTATGTGTAAATAAAAAGAATAATTTCACAAGAATAAAAAATAGAAAAATAAAGAATATGACCTTTGTTTCCATTTGTCATTCCTCTTTAGACAACTTAAAAAAGTTTGTTGACGCATTATAGATATTTCCAATTTTGTTTTTCAATTTGACTAAGCTCCATATTTGCCTTTGAGGTAGTCGTAATGGTTTTTCATTTGCCTTTGGCTCACAATATAATTAAATGTCTTCAAAGATCTAGAGTCAATGTCCAAGAACCCAAGTTCAATGTCATTTTTTTTGTAACCATGGGGTTTGACACTTATGGTCCAATTATCCATGGTTCATGCAAAATTGCAAAGCATAACAAAACATAAAAAGTCTAGTCTAAGAAACTAGTTAGGTGGAATAAAAAATATTCCATGAAACTAAAGATTTATAGTATATTTGATTAGTGAATCTACAAACAAGGAAAAAAAAGTGAAAATTGATACTCTCACCATTATGCAAACCATGGATGTATAAAAATAGTGTAGATAGGAAAAGAAAACCAAGTAAACATAAACTAGAATGATTATAAAAAGACCAACATAAGATTTCTACATATAAAGAGTAGTTATATGCCACTTTCAATAATTTACCAAAAAAAGGCAACCAAAATTAGTTCCATGATATGGGGTTGGCTTGTAGTACGATTGATCCCCTTTGAACAAGAAAGATATATCAAAAACAGCTTTTGGAGGTCAATTGCCTTTTCCCATATTGGAATTTCCATAAAACAAAACCATTGTATTTTCAAAATAGAAAGAGACTAGTTAATTTTCAATGGAACTTTGAATTTGAATGATATGATTTTGGAGTGAGTTTCAGGGTGGAAATCATAAAAGCACGTCGGGGTTTGGGTACAGAGAAGCCAGTTCTTCTTACTGGGCCTGGCAAGGTCAGTCTCCTCATTTTCGTAGCAGATAGATTATGTTACAAAATCTAACAATTCTTTCTCCATGGAATATATAAGGTGGGTCAAGCCCTAGGGATTTCAACAGATTGGTCTGGATACATCGTTGTTTTGTTTGGGGTTCTTTCATGTAACTTTCTTGGGGTTAATCCACCATTAAGAAAAGAAACCCATCAATCTGTTACACCCTTGTTTGGTTTGAACAAATTTCTGATTGATTATCTATTGTTCATAAGTAGGTAACAAATTTCTCAATGTATTTAATTATTATGGGTTTCTGTCATTTTTATATGGATTTAACTAGTTTATTATGCTCCCTCCATCACATAATACAAAATAGAAAAAGAAAATCAACCCATTTGCAGAAACCTCTACAACAAATGGAATGTAGATGAGTTTGTGATACAAAAGTGGAAACATAACACCCATACTCAAAGAGAATAGAGAAAAAAACCGAGAACATTATAAACAATAAGATGAAGAAAATGAGTAGAACTTGCAGAAACAGAAAAGAAAATCGATTATGTTGCTTGAGAGTCGGCTGCTAGTTTGAACTCGTGAGCGTCGCCAAGAACCCCTTTCCTTTTCTTTGCAGATTTATGAAACTGTACAATAAGGAAGGACCAAATCTGGGATATTATAAATCAAGAAAAAGAAGAAGAAATCGAAAAGAAAGAGACAAGAAATTGTTGATCCTCTCTCTCAATGATTTGATGATAATCCATTTTCTCTTACACGTTGTATTTATGTTTCTGTATTTTCAGTTC